GTCCCCTTTTCAGATGAAAGTGAAGTTTGCATGTTATTTTGGAATCAATGTCGTCCTTAAAGTCTGGAGAGAGTGGAAAGCAGAATCCAAGTTGCTTTTAGTGCCAGTGTGAAGTTTCCACAGTCAGTGATGAATTTGGGGAGCCATTGTCATCTGCTGGTGTTGGTCCACTGTTGTCTTCTCAAGTCCAAAGTCAAGTAGCACATCTACCAGACATTTTAGGCACTTCATGTTCCTTTTGCTTACTGGAGATGCTTATTTCATTTTCCATCAGGACTGACCTGCCCATACTGCCAAAGGTACCAATACCTGGTTCAATACCATGGTTACTGTGTTGATTGGCCAGGCCAAATTGCCTGACCTGAACCCGTAGAGAATCTTATGGGCTATTTCAAGAGGAAGATGAAGAGACACCAGACCCAACCAATGCAGATGACCTGAAGGAATATCAAAGCAACCCTGGCTTTCCATAACACCAAGCAGGCACAGCTGAATCAACCTCCATGGCCACGCGCATTTGATGGAATAAATCAATGCAAAAGGAGCCCGGACAGATATTGAGTGCAATATATTGAACTAATACTTTTGAGTTAGGGACCACTTTCTGTATTAAAATGTTATGTGGTCTTGTGAAATATATGAAATATTACAAATTTTCTAGATACTGAATTTTGGGTTTTGTAGCTTAAGCATAATCATCAAAATTAAAAGAAATCAAGCTGATAATAATTTCACTCTGTGTGTAATGAAATCTATTATAATAATGGTTTCCTTTTGAATGGAATTACGAAATAAGATGAACTGTTTCATGATATCTAATGTTTTGGAGACCTGTATTGTAATACTAAAGTGTAAAAGGAATACTGGTCATTGTTAGCATACGGTTTATAAAAAATCACGTAGTAGCTGTGCGTAAACATAACGCATCCAAGCTAACACCAATGTGTGATTATAACCAATCTTTTGTTCCGTGTCTTTTCTGTTGAATTTGGACAAAACCTTTTTGTGTTTGTGTGTTTAAAACAAAAAGGAGTAGTAGGAGTCAGAATGGAGCTTGTAACTACGACATGGCTGTGTGTTGTGTGTGTGTGTGTGTGTTGTGAGAGAGAGAGAGCCTGAATACCACCACTTATTTCCCTCCTCTTTCACAACACCAGATACCAACGTCAGGCATGAGAGAAGCTCTCACCAACGTCCCGAGTGCTGAGTCAATATGTTAGGTGCCAGACGCCATGAGTAACTCAGTTTCTTCATTTACACACAAATATCGTTTGATATTGTTGTGTTCATGCATTTGTGTCTTCCTGTTCATCATTATGTAATGAACAAACCCACCAAACTACTTTTTATATTATTAGGTTCCACAATTAAGTCCAAATGTGTTAATTTAATGAAATGACAACAAATTTGATTCTAATCTAATGAAACATTAGTCCTTTATTCACTGAGAGATGACAGAGAGAGAAATTCCAAAAAAGTCCTTAAAATTGTTTTCTACAGTAATGTATATTAACCCTAACATTACCAGTTTGAGAATTTATTAGTTTTTGTATTAATTATAATTATAAAAAAAGTATTCATTATCTGTTATTACCATCCAATGTTCATAATTTCATGTGTCTGAAGCATAAAAAAACTATGGAATCACTGAACTGTGAGAAATAAGACGTGAAATGTGAAAATTATAAATGGTACAAAAACTAGATAAATTAATGGATTATAAATAATGATTAAGCAATAATTTCTCCTAGATTACTTTAATATAATGATTTGGAGCTTAGAATGAAAAAGAAAAGATCTTGTTTTTCATGAGCTTGTAGTAAATGTTGGTATGTCAGGGTGAGGGTACTACTGCTGGGAAAGAATTTTTGTGTGTTGAAATTGTACACTTTCAAGTTGTTCTCAAATAAACCCATTCAATTTTGGACTGAGGGCTGTGTTGTAGAAGCCATGGATAGTGGAGAGATTACGTAAATTGTACCTTAAAATTATATAATTAAGGTTTATTTTATAATCATATAATGGGCTAAACATTTGATGATATAAACCATACGCACATCAAAATTCAAATTAACATTAAATAAAAACCTCGATAGGAGCTTAAAATTTACTTATTTTTTCAATCCTTCTCCATTTGGTGTAATTTGTCAAACCCAAAAATCCCCAGAAGAATGATCTCCGCAATGGCGAATTTCCCCATAGCATCCGAAAGAAAAAAAATACATAATCAAGTTTACTTCTTTTTTATTTATTGTACATCCACCACTAAATCAGCATTTATCTTAAAAGAATTCCACGCCCTCCTTTCGCATTTTAGACTCCGCCTTCGCAGAAGGGGACCCCAAATACTTTTGTGTATTGATATAGACCAAGGACTGGTATGTGACAATAGTAAGAGGCAGGTTAGCTCAGCTTAATTCGCAGGCAGTCAGTATCGTAAACCGGAATAGTAACAGCGACGACACATTAAATGTGCCTGTTAAGGATGAACAGTCCTCTTGATTGATACTATGCATCCTGGAAAAGTGTTATCCAATTGTTTTATACTGTAGTACACATTTTGAAAAGAAAAATGGTATCCACATGTACTGTCATAAAGATTTTGCATTGCAAGATACAATAAATACAGCCCTAATCCACAAACCTCCTCTTCAGTAAGTTTTATTATTCTACAGTTCGCGTTGGTTTTATTTTATGAGTGCATAGATTGGATTGCGCAGGGAGAACGGGGTCCGGGGGGCGGTGGGTGACCTCTGCGACGACAGCGAGCTTGAGAACGGAGCCATTGAGTTACCTAATGATGGAAAATTGTAGTTCATGTAATGTAAAATGATCATCACTTCCTGTTCGAATAAATCAAGCCTGTTCCACGCCAGCGTATGAATGGTACTCTAGCCAGTTCATACCACTTTGTGTTTTGGTTATTGTTCACTGTCAAATAAGAGAGATCACGAAAATTCCCAGTTAAATAGAAGAGGAGCACGCCGGCACGGCATCAAATACCTTGGAAGGGCGGGAGGGTCTAATCGGACCTACAACGGCCCTGTACTGTAGACATAAAAAGGATGGTAGGGAAGGTCTTCAAAATGAGTGGGGCAAAAAATTATTAATGTGATTAAAAAAAAAAGAATAACAGCGAGTTACAAAGTTCAATTTAAAAAATGTGGAGATGGGAGAAAAGACTACTTTTCTATTACTTTGTTTGTCATTTTCTTAAGAGACAAACAGAGTAGAAGAGTCTTGCTCCCATATTATGTAGGTAGGTCTACATTTTTATCTTCAGGCGGACATTATCTAAACATAAAAGAGAAACACCTTTTCTTTTCCTGCAGAAATAGATAGTGGTATCCAAGTACTATCGGACACCACTGTGCGCTAGTTCAGTAAAGGGTTGTGTGTGGTGCTGGGGGTGTCCTGGAATGGGTTAGAACTAGGTCGTATCCATTCCGCTCATGCGCTGTAACAAAAGGACATCTAGATATACTGAACTGTATATTAACCGCCAACCCACTCGTTAAGAGGATGACCTAGTTGCATGATGTTTTAAAATAAGACCCAACACCCAATAGAATCATTAATGGAATGAGTTTAAGGTAGTTTCAATCTTCAGGGTAGGATAGAGGAGATATATAAAGATGGAGAGTTGAGACACTGCCGTTGAGAGCGCCTTATGTTCATTGGGTACAAAGTGACAAGAGTTGGTTAAATTAAGTGTTTGTTTTAGACTTAATATAAGTGTGTTCATCGCCGACAGATAGTCTTATACTGGGTCGTCTAGGAAACAAAAACCTGTCCGAAGAATATGACGGCGTCCTACATCCGTTTCTAACAACAAAGGAAACAAAAAACAACAAAAGCAACCAGCTCCCATGGATGGTCTGCCGATTTTCCTTGTGAGTCTGGGTTTTCCACTTTGAAATAGTCGCCCTCACATAGTTCTAGGATGTATCTTCCGGTTAGCAACATACTTGTTAAGAAGAAGAATAGAAATTGGACGGGAAGAGAGGATGGAAGAGAACCCAATGGTTTCCTGACTTGTTAAGAAGGCGCCTAACTACACTCAAATGAGTGAGTTTGTGTTTGTGAGGAATTTCAATTAAAGAAGGTGGAAGACTCAGAATTTTACGTCCCCCAGTAGTCAAATAAATGGTGACACTCAGACCAATCTTAGATAAATTCGTGGTCGACTGGGAAAAATGAAATCAGCAATCTCCATACAGCAAAGGAGGAAAGCAAGAAGAGGCATTATAAAGTAAGTTTGCCTCCGGTAGATGCTACGTTGACTTGAACTTGAAGAAGAGAATCAATGCTAGTGTACTCAGACAGCTCAGCATGTAAATTAGCACTAGGACATACCCAAAGCATCATCAACGACCGACTGTGGGAAGAACTTCACACTGGACTAAAATGCTACTACTTTATTCTAAGCCTTCTCCCAGGTGCGTCCATCAGAAACTTTTGTATAGCAAAGACTGATCATTTGATCAAGATGATAGAGCAAGACTTCTATCTAGACGAGAGAAGGACTTTCTGAACCCGTTAACTTTCGATATCTATAACAATACCATCTCTATCGGCCGTATTTAGCCCATAATAAAACGCTTGTGTCAAGATATGTAAAGACCAATACCTGGAAACAACGTCTGTGTTAATGTATCTGGGATGTGAGGATTAACGTAAGGTGTCAACGTTGATTACCCACACTCCAGCCTCAGGGGTAATGCCAACCCTCTTTCGGACAGCGCGTGCCCGCTACCAAGCTATCGATAACCTTCTGCAAAGAGATGCGAAGCTGGTGGTGCCTTCAACAATCCCTTCAAGCTGCGTTAGCCCTGCTTCGGTGCATCCATTATTTTAACAAGGATCGTTTCACTCTGTATCACCAAACTACAACTAATTCTAATTATTAATAAGTCTTGAATTACAAACCATCTCTGTATGGACATATGTACCGAGTCTGCTTAAGTCTATGAATGACCATTTGTGCTTCCCTCCTTTAGAGTTTCCGTGGCAATGACTGTGATCGTACCAACAATGACAATCTCTATCGCAAGTTTTACCCCTGGATGATTTGTACCTACTGACACCAGACACCAAAATGGAGATTGATAAGTCCAATAATTGAAAGGCTGCAATAGTGATTAAACCTACTGAATCAGTGATATTTGAGTTAATGATACAACTGACTATAGATGTATGACAATGGATGTCCTTATAGGCGAATATTTTGAAGATAGAAGATTCTAAAGCGTAAGTCAATCGTATTAAGTTTCATAGTGATAGCTGATATTTATGTGGTGGTTTGTTAGCTAGAATCATATATAACAATCAGCAGAGAAAAAGAAATAAAGCATTGGAAATAGTGAACACTCGGATGTACTGCAAATTATCGTAATGTAGATATTTCTAGGGAATATATGATTTTCTCGGAGTACAAATTCGTTCATACTAATGGAATATAACGTAAGCGCTAATAGATCTTAAAACAAGAATGTCTTCGAATGATCCTAATATGCTAGTCAACAGCAATGACTAAACAAAAGCCTGTTGAAAAAGCCATACAACGCGTCCTTCAGAATAATCTATAGATCCTCTCGATTGTTAAGGTTGTTTACACTTCCATATTTCTGTATATTACCTGATAATGATAAACCTAATTACACCTGCGCATATAAATCCTTACATTCATATTCAAAAAATATTGCATAATCCTCTATGATCCCGTGAAATCCACAAACATACAGCAGTGGATCATCAGTGCTGTGCTTAAGCACTTTGAAAACGGACAGGATATTATAAGTGCTCTTATAATTATCTCGTGCAAACATGGTGCACAAACATAAGACGAGACAGCGTTTGTGTGTTGAGATGGACGACCCAATTACCTGCCAACCGTTTTTATTATTACCATCGGCCAATACCGCTATAATTTAGCTATGATGTCAATATATACAAAATCACTAAACATCTGTTCAGTTTGTATTTTACTTGGCTAGTTCAAATAACTTCAACGAAAACTGAAGAATATGTAGGCTACAGGGTGGTTCGTAATACACGTTTTGGCTGCTAAAACAAAACAAAAAAAACTCTAATCAACGACAAAACATTTTGTTGTCAGCCTTTTATACCGAGATATAGGCCTGCTGGGGTAGATTTTCCAGGTTGGGAACCACTGTCCTACACACTTGGAAGGCTGAGATGTATTCAAATGGTTTCAATCTGCAACTTCACTGCTTGATGGCGCTAAATCCTACACACTGGTCCTTCAGTCAACATTTTAATCATATAAGTATCAGATTGGACCCGGAATAGTCAGATATGGAAAATTAAAGAACTCGGTTCAGGGCCAAAAAAGTGTGACAGCGGGACATATCTTAGTGAATAGACTACAAACACACTCAGGCAATTAGGCCCAATTGTGATGTAATCGTTTTACAGCCATAAGCCAGACAGGAATACCCCCCCCCCTTTCCATGGAGTCTATCAACTGGTTGAGAGAATCAAGGAGGAACCATAACCAGCATTAGAGTAGTTTCATTTGCCTCTTCTTCTCTCACAGCTGTGACCTGTTACACTGCGTCAGATGGGGGTTGGGGGGGTGACCTTTGACCTTGCATTTGATCGTCCCTCTGTGCCTTTAGTGAGAGAGAAAACACAGAAATGTAACCCAACCCCCTGCCAACCTCCCCTGCTGCTCCTCCTCTTCCTCCTCCTCAGGGTTGATTTGACAAGACTTCTCCTAAACATTACCATGTGGACTCTCTCTCTGACTCTCTGTCTGTGTCTCTTTACCGCTCGCTCTCTGTCAAAACAGAAACATAATGAGCCAAGGCAACTTCTTAAAGTCAGTACATACACAAGCTCTGACTCCAGTTTATTTCTCTTCTCTCTGTTCTTCTCCCTCTTGTCTTCCTCCTCCTGACTTCTGTCATTTTTGCTCTAGAAAGGAAAAACCCGGCAGTCATATATTTGGTCAAAATGTGAAAAGATGTTGAATCTGACTTTTTGACATCTGTTTTACTACATAAAAAATTGCTATGTCATAGAAATGCACAATTCCTGCAAAAACTGCTTTTTAAATTTGCAGCACACAACAACAGAACAGGCTAAAACCAAACTGCAGTTGTTATGCATTCTTATATTTTATTTATTTTATATTCAGTAACTGTACTCTTGTTTAGTAATCTGTGGAATGGAAAAGCTGTCGTTAAATCATCCAAAAATATCACTTTTGTTTTGTGTTGATTCTGGTGCCCCCTGTGGACAAGAGTGGTAGTGTTTCCACCACCTTGTTTCATTGATTTCAAGGGGAATTCGATGGCAGACATTAAGAATAACTGTACAGACATTCATAACTAGTCAAAAACTCCACATTTACATACACATAGTACATTTAACATAACAAAAACAAATTTTACTTGTTCTACTATATGTAATTATATATGTATTAATATTATATAGGCTAATATATAAAAATATAAATATCTGTTTTATTAATTCACTTTGATATTCCACATAAATAAATGAATGAACACAGTGATAATGAATGAAAAACCTTTGTGAAACATCTGCTAAAGCTAACAAGCTATCTTATAGCTGCTATTTCAGCTTTTGACCCTGGTGGATTTGGTGAAGTTAAGCTTCTTTAAATCACATGCTTAAACCCAAGGCCTGAATTGGACCAAATGCAGTGCCAGTAGCCTAATTTAGCACAACCCTTACCACAACCTACCCAACAAAACCAACAAAGGCAACGGACACTAGCCAATCAGAGGGAGAGTAGGGCAGGTCTTCAGCTCAAGCGTAACAAAGTTGTTTAGAGGTATGTAGCGGGACTCACCAGGGAGTGGCGGTACGCAAGAAGAAGTGAGGGTACTCGTGGACAAAAATCAGATGGTCCAACACTAGTACCTGTGAGTACAGGCCCATTTCAGACACGGCTTAGCGGAAGTCGCAAACACAACATTGACATAGTATCAAGTTTCTATGTTCTAGGGGTGTAAGAATATTGAAAAATATCATATCATGCTGTTTTGTTTTGTGATATGGTATCTCAAAAACACATTTTTTGTGATTGAACCACTAACCTCGTAACCTAATCGTCTTGCTTATAATGTCACAATATTTTGAATCGTAACCCTTGCATCGTGATACCTATTGTATTGCCAGACTCTTGCCAATACACAGCCCTACTATGATCATCAGCTAGTCACTTAGTGTCTGTCTCAGCAGCTTCCCTCGGCTTTACAGAACTGGAATTCAGGTTACTTGATGCGCTATCATGAATATGATCCAGAGTTAGGGGGCATTTTTTATGTTTTAAGTTTTATGGCAATGATTTTTTGGGGAGAATAATCAGTCTAAAAAGGCATGAATAACTATTTTTCTATGTTACGCTGTTTGCCAGCCCAAACCTTCTTTGTTGAGCAGATTTGTTGCAACTTTTCTCACTCTTTTTATGGGCAGCAGCATAACTTTCTTCTTCTTTCTTCTTTTCATTTAACTTTTTTAAAACATAAGCTACACATCTAATCACTGAACTGATGTTTAATTCAGTCCAACTCTTTATTTTGCGCTGTTCTCTCTATGTTTTCACATTTTTGGGACTTAAGTGGATTACAGCCTTCCATCTTCACTGTGATTTGTGGTCAGACGCTCTTCTGTCCCTCTTGGAAAGGGAGTTTCACTGGAATTGCAGCATTTCTTTGCTCTGCCGACCTTCATCCGAGTCTTCCCTCAGTCTTTCTCTCTCTGGCTGTGTTTTTCCGCTGCAAGAAGAAAGAAAACCAGACTGTGTTTCTAAACTTTCCTCGCGCTCCTTTACATGTAACAGATTACTCGCTCCGTTCAGCTCCTCCTGCAGCCCTTCTCTTTCTCTCCTGTGTGTGTGTGTGTGTGTTTTGGGTTGGAGGAGGGGAGGTTTTGATTTGCGGTGCAGTCAGACGAGGGAGGTCGTCTTTCAGACCAGATATGGAGGCTCTGCTGTTGAAAGAAAAACTCCAAAACTTTACTTGCTGTGCGTCTGACCAAAGAGGATATCATATGTGAGGAGATCTACTCTTTCCACCTCATGCTCCAGTTGCTGTTTTCTCTCTTTGCTTGCTTTTGAGGAGGCTCTACCTGTGAATGAAAAGGATTGCATTTTTTTGGCTAGAAAGAATACTAACCAGTGGATTACACCGTCCAGATCTGCTGTGAGTTGCGGTCAGGTTTGAAAGAGTGTGGACTAAAACTAACAATGTAGTTTTACTGAACATGTGAGGAGTTTTGCTATTACCACAGTATTCACATCTGTCCTGCTTATCAACTGCAGTCATTCTGCTTCACAAGTTGGAGTACCTCTAGTATTTTTTTCCCTTTCCTGGAGAGCCTCTTCCTCCTCTTATCTCTTCAATCCTACCTCCTTCATATCATCTTTCTCTCCCTCTCTCCTTTGTGTACTCCGGAGGAGGAGGAGCTCAGGACCAAAAAGAAGAGGACTGGATAGTGATGTCATCATGTTCATTTAAACCTTTGAGCGAGAAAGCTTAATGGAGAGGGCAAACAGCACAACAGCGATTCAACAAACCCTGCTGACTGCTGAGGTGAAGAGCCATTCATCGTGGTAACTGTTGTTTTCTGGGGCAGTAGCAGCCCTCTCTATGGAACCCCTCTAAACCAATCAGAACCTCACTGCCAGCGAGCTATGGACTGCACGGCGGCTATTTTGAAAGCGTGCGCCCGTTCCAGATCCAAATGGTGTCGGCACGAGCGGTCCTCTGTCCGTCGCCCGTGGAGACCGGTGGACGGCTGCGGGTGTGGCAGAGGTGTCACGGCGGCGGGGGTCCATGCCTCCTCCCTCCTGCACCGCCTGTTGTTTTATGCCTGCTGTTGTCTGTCCCGTGAGGACAGCTCTGAGCTGTGTCAGGAATGGGTGGATCGCCCCACTGGAGGAAGAGGAAGAAGTGAGGATGAAGGTGAGAGAAGGACTCTCTCTATGTCCCGATGTTCTTGGTTCAGCCGGGTCAAAACTTCCTACATTAGTGTCAAAGTCAGAGGCTTTCTTTCATATTCATAAGAGTGAAAGTTGTGAGTATGGACAGCAGGTATTGAGGTGTTTTTCCCAGAGCACAAATGGGCGGATGAACTTTGTCTGAATAACCCTGATGACATCATCAGAGTAATTTTTTTCAAACTTTGGGAAACTTCCTCCAGAACCAGTCCACCTTCAAAAACAATTTAGCCATTACACTCATGAATAAAATACTGCCGTCGTTGGCAAAATTACTCCAAAATTACTCCAAAATCCAAAATTGTAGCACATGGTATTTTATGACTGGATTCTGTATGCTGTTTCTGTATGACTTCCTGCCAGTGTGACCTGCTCTGCGTTGCTTGGTCGCGGCCTGATTCATCCCAGTTAGCTACTCGCAGGGCTAGTAATTAAACTGCGGTAGCTCGTGAGCTAATGGCTAACACACTAGCTGGATGGGCTAGCACTAGTCACTCACAAGGGCTGTTTACTTCTCCAGGCATATTGTTCTCAGTATGGTAGAACATTTCAGTCAGTAAACACTGAAGAGGGAGAAATCTCTATGAACTAGTGAGCTTTCTGAATGTTAGCTAGCTAGATAGTTAGCTGAGTTCCGGCAGGTGAGGTTAAATAAAAGTGGACGGTTCAACTAGCCTCCTCCATTTTGGATTCTCCAGCTCTCCATTCCCTTAAAGGTCAGCACTGTCAAGATGCTAATGTCAGTAGCGTGAATTAGCACGTCAAAGTTCACCTAAATTAAAATTGATGTGAAAAATGTGTACACATTTACTTTGCCCTTGCTAGCGAATCCATTAATTGATTAACTGACCCTTCCTACGTGCCGCTCCTTTGTGCTCTGTCAGAACCTCGGTCAACTTCCTCCTCCTGTGCTGGATATGCTCATCTATGTTGAAAAGAAAACCAAATATATATTTATATATAGTTAGCAAAACACTAGCTAACTAGCAAGCTAATCAAGTTACAGCAGACCATCAACGTCAACCAGCTTTTTAGATAGTGAATCCTGTCTTTTCATCGTCTGACAAAGGATAGAAGTATTTTCAGAGCGATGATTGGAAAGATGGCCCGTCTTGCCTCGTTGTTGTCGGCGACCTTGACAACAACAATCGTTATTTTTTTCTATATATATTGATCCCTCAGGTCACTGACATCACAGGTCACTTTAATGAACACAATGAACTAAAGTTCAACCTGTCAGCCTGTAGAATGTAACAGTTGTTCAGAGAGGAAGTGATGTTGTTTACTGTCCCATCTTCTGTTCCAGGTCATAGTATCCTACATCCCCCATAATGCCTTTTAGCATGGAGATAAGATTCTCTGTGTCTTGATTGACAGGTCCATCAACCAATCAAAACAATAATCATTCAGATACGGGGTAATGGTGTATAGTCTTTCCTCGAAGGCATTCTTAGTGTTGCACTCAGTTGTGTACATGGAAAGTGAAAGAAGTAGTTGTGTGTGTGAAATATGAGTTCCTCATACAGTAGTCTTTTCAATAAGCACACAGACACTCATCTTTTGGGAAGATGGGTATAAAAGCAAGACAGAGAGGTACAGTAAAAGGAAGACAGACAGACAGACAAAGGAAGGAAGGACGGAAGGAAGGAAAGAGGGACTGACAGAAGGAATAAGAGGCTGCAGTAGTTAACGAGACAGAAATGGAAAAGTCTGTGCTCGCTGTATCTGATCTTTCCATTTTATTTTTCTTCTTCTAAAAACGACTCACACACCCTGTCATTGACTGACCACACACACATGCACGTGTGTGTGTGCATACACACACAGTCTTCCCAATGTGCTTTGTGTTCAGTTGGTTTTATTTTCAGTCTGTGTGTGTGTGTGTGTGTGTGTGTGTGTGTGTGTGTATGTGCGTGCGATGCTTCTCTGGTATTTAGTCCAACAGTCAGCAATTTATAGCTGTAATTATAGACTGTCAGAGAAAGAGACAGAGTATGAGCTTTCATGCTGTGGCTTACAGTCTCGTGTGTGTGTGCACGTGTGTGTGTGTTTCTTGGCATATTTAGGTCATGATAGTGAATATAGTGAATATAGTGAATATGTTAATATGGAGATCAATTACTGTTCCACACACTGTCTTCCCAGTGGGCTTTGCGTTGGAGAGTTCATGTTTTTTTGTGTGTGTTTTAAGTTCTTTTATGAGTTGTTCTATTTTTATAACCTCTTCTGATTGGACAGATTTTTACCCATTTTTCAACCTGATTGGACGGATCCACTCTCATAGTCTGAGGAGGCGGGGCTCTATGGCAGGGCTTGTATGTCACTGAGGATGGAGGGTAGAGCTTCAACAATTAGCTGATTAATCGATTAGTTGTTAACTATGACATGAATTGCCAATTATTGTGATCATTGATTATTTATTTTGAGTCATATTTTAAGAATGTCCAGACTCTCTGATTTCAGCTTCTCAAATGTGAATATTTTCTGGTTCCTTTAGTCCTCTATGACAGTAAACTGAATATGTTTGGGTTGTGGACTAAACATTTGAGGACGTCACCTTTAGCTTTGGGAAACAGTGATCAATGGTTTTCACCATTTCACATTTTTTGTGATTTTTGTTCATCGAAAATGGCAGACAGATGAATCCACAATGAAAATAATCATCAGTTGCAGCCCTCATCCCGAGAGAACAGGGAATTTTGGATGACTTTTTATCGTCTGGGTTGTTCCAGTGGTCAGTCTCTGTGTTTCCACCACTGACAATTCCATTTATGTGGCTCCATTTGTATTTGGTCATGCTGTTAGTGGAATATATAAGGAATATTTTGCCTTATTCTCTTTCTTGCCGAGAGTTAAATGAGAAAGATGGATACCACTTTCTTGTCTGTATAAAAAATATTAAGCTTCCTGTTAGCTTAGCTTAGCATAAAGACTGGAAAGCTTTGGCTCTGTACAAAAGTAACAAAATCTTCCTACCAGCACCTCACAATTTTACTGTTACTGCACCAAGCTACGAAATATTACAATACATAACACAGCTAGGTTTTTGTACTGATTAAACAAAGAAGATATAACGTGGGAGCTGTAGAGCTGCTGGTTGGTGGATAATTTAATTTCTTTATTTCATGGTTTGATGTGAAGGTTACATTAGATCTGTGTGGAGTGATATTTTTTTTATTTTTTGAGATTAGACAAAACGGACCTTATGCATTGTGTAACAGAAAAACTAAAACCACACACACAAAAACAAGGGTTAGGGCAAGTGATATGGGTACAGTGCAGCCTATTGTAAAG